ATAGATCTTAACTTTTTTGCTACGAGGTGGTTGGAGCCTATGACCTTGGAGTTCTAGTTGCCAATGCTGTCGCCGAATTTAACCGTTTGTTCTTTTCTTATTAGACCTTTTGCCCCTAGTAGCGAACATTGTTACTAGTAGCAAATTAAGGTGTGTTTTTCTTTTGACCTTTAGACCTTTTGCAAACTTTTGGAACAGTGGCTTACGAATCTGCCTCTGGTCGTCCGTCAGAAGGCACTCGATACTTGATCCGGGCAACCTCAGAAAGCGGTCGCCGGCATCAGAATGTCCGGCTTTAACAATTTGACATATTTGACAAGCAATTGATTAAAAAATCATTCCAAATGGATTGCTCGTGACAGTCAAGTAGAAGTAATGTGGCTTTCATGACAGGATGTGAGAAACCAACAACTGGTCACCTCCGAAATAATTGGACTTCTACCTTGCCGCCTTGCCTAGAAAGTTCGAGGTGATCATCAGACTGCAAGAAGCAAGAACACAGAAAAAGGAGTCCCCGAAAAAGGAGTCTGATTCTGCGAAGGATCATCTTCTTCTGATGCATCATTGATCATGCCTAGGCTGTGATGAAAGCTGCAACGACTGAGGGCAGGGATGGGCAGGGCTTTAGCAAGTGCATGCCAAGCAATTCTTTACTAGTAACAAGTGCCTTACTAGTAGTAACAAGAAGCTACTAGGAACAAGTGCATCGCTACTAGTAACAAGTGATGAATTGACCAATTGAAATCACGTGAGCATGAGTCACTCCGCTCAGAGTTGCTAAGAACCATTAACTAAAGCAGACAATCGGACTTACGGTTTGCGTGTAAAAAGATCCATTATAACCATAGGTGCGAATTGAACTACTGGTAGCAAGTGCATAACTACCAGTAACAAGAAGCTACTAGTAACAAGGGCATTACTACTAGTAACAAGAAGCTTTGGAGCTTTGGATCCATAGGTGCGATTTGAACCCGGAAGCCTGGTTTTGACATATACATCATGGGGAGAAGGTTTGTGCCATGGTGCGGCATTTGAACGGCAGCTCGGCCAAGGGCAGTGGTCCAAAATTGACCTGCACCTTGGTGCAAAAGATCTCAAGGCTGGTAAGCAAACCTTTCTCCTAGTAGCGTCCTTGCTCCTAGTAGCGATGCCAGGAGCCCCTAATAGCGATTCCTTGGCTGGTAAGCAAACCTTTCTCAATGACGACTGCCTCAGGAAATGGATCAAACTACTCTAGGACTCTAGTCATTCCTTCTTGAGCTCCTCTTGATCCTCTTAGCTTACTTATCGACCTACCCTCCAAACCTCCAATGCAGCTCTGTCTGCGCTAAGCGCCATGCCGTCAGGTTCTTGAATGTGATCTCAGAGGCCGTCGGAAATTCGAGAACATGAGACTCACTGGACTGGCTGGGTTTTCTTCACAAAGTGAAGAACATGGCCTCCAACCTACTAGCAAAAGGAACCTATTAGCGATGACCTCCAACCTAATAGCTTGTCTATCTTGCTATCATCATCACTTGTCTGTTTGTCCATTCCTGACTTTAAACATGAGCCTCATTGTGCCTTGCACAATCTAGATCGTTCAGGCTTTGTGCTTGAGCCCAGCTATGCCCCATTGCAAATGAGCTACCATTGGAAAAAGCGGCTTCCCTTTCAGGATCTCGGGAATCGGTTGAGGCCTCACAATCCACAAAGCCGTCACAAAGCCGCCGGTTTAATCTGATACCTTTGACTCAAAACCTCTCGTGAAAAAATAGCTTAAGAAAGGTTGAACAATGTTGAAACGTCTCAGCTATATAAGTAAATGTATGACAGCTTTGCGCTCTGCTACGGTCGTGTTTGAAGTCAAAGAGTCTGCCTCAACCGTCATGTCTACTCCCGCGAAGTCTGGTGAGAAACTGTCAAACCTTATTTGCAATGACCTCCAACCTGCTAGCGATGGCCTCCACCCTAGTAGCGATGGCCTCCAACCTAATAGCAAAAGGAACCTAATGGCATTTGTTACTACTAGCTTCTTATTACTACTAGTAGGGCACTTGTTACTAGTAGCGATGCACTTGTTACTACTAGCTTCTTGTGACTAGTAGTAATGGCCTCCACCCTACGCCTCCAACCGCAAATGTGAAATGTGTCCACAAATGTGGCCTTGAGATGCGCTCTCCTTCCCGGAAAAGGGACATGGTGTTGGCGTCCGGACCTCGAATCGTCAGAAAAGGGACACGGTCCGGACGTCTTTCAAACAGCGTTCTTTGAATTTGCTTCTTTTCTTCTTTAGACCTTTAGATCGTGTTCTTTTCTTTTGTTCAATTGTCTTTTTCTAGTCTTTCTTTTGACCTTTACACCCTTTCTTTGGTTTCCTCTTTTTTTACTGGGCTGACAACTCGGACCCAAACGCAGATCTTTCTGACAATTGAACAATTCGAAAGCTTGTTACTAGTAGCGTCCTTGCTCCTAGTAGTAAGGCCAGGAGCCCCTAGCAGCATTGCTCCTAGGAAGCTGGCCATCATCCGTCAAGTTCAGCAACACCTCAGTGTCCGTAGAACTACCGCACACTTGTCGCTGAGCATTTAGGCCGAGTAGGACACTTCGCAGGGGGTGAGACAACCTTTTGTTGGGTCTCAAACAAGAGTCAAAGCTCAGACCTGCTTCAGGTGCACATGTGCGTGACTGTGCTTTGCCCTTTGTCATGGCGCACTAGTGGGGGGGCACAGCCTGGTGCAAAGGCCTTGGCCCTTGGAGTTGGAACAAAACATGTAATGTCAATTTGATGCGGTTCCCTCAAAATCTAGGAACCAAGTCAATGAGAAGGGCTCTTCAAGGAAGCTCTGCCCCGAGCTTGAAGAACGCTTCACTGACGCTTCACGCTTCTGGGTCCAGTCCCTAGTAGTTTCTTGAGCTACTAGTAGCCTACAGTAGTAGCCTACATCACAAAATGATGAGAAGAAAATGGAATGATGAAAGAAGAAAGAAAGAAAGCCAAACAGGAATGGAATCCTGCTGAAGAAAGAAAAAGAAGAACAATTGCTCTTTGCAGGCCTACAAGTTGCGTTGCTCCACGCCGAAGGAGGGACATGAGTGCATGGTAGTTTCTCGGGAAGTGATTGAAATTCTAGAAAGCTCAGGGAGACTTGTTTCACCTTGTTTCCAAGAGTGAAGGCTTTTGGAGGCCATCGCTAATAATTAAGGACCCTACTAGGAGCAAAGGGCATCGCTACTAGGAGCAAGGAACTGGGGGCTCCTGGCATCGCTACTAGGAACAAGAGGACGCTACTAGGGCCTCCTGGCCGTACTACGAACGGAGCGATCGGACGCTACAAGACAGCCCGCTGAGGGTGGGACCGCTATTGCCACCCCGCTTACTAACCGCTGCGTGCACTGCGTCCGCCTGCACAATCTTATTGTTACTACTAGTAAGGCACCTGTTACTACTAGCGTGGCACTTGTTTTTAGTAGCACAAGATCGTCAGTGATCGGATGGACCACGATATGCGAAATGCTTCCTTCCCAAAGAATTCAGAGATAAGAACCAGCACGATATTTAGATTATTAGATATTACTGTACTACTATTTATTACCAGTAGCTTCTTGCTACTGGTAGTAAGGCCAGGAGCCACGTTCGTGGTAGTAAGGCCTCCGATTGAAGACAAAGTTGCCCTCGGAGTCGAAGGAAATGCTATCCTCGGAGTCTCCCAGCAGCAAAGCCTTGGTTGAACGTTCGGTTTCGTCTTCAGAACCGAAAAGTTGAACGTTCGTCGTCTTCTAACATGGCCTCAATACCGAAGCGTCCTTGTCCGGTACGTTTGCCACATGCTCTAGGAACCAAGTCAATCTTGCTGCCCGCTTTGACAGCACCCAAGTGACATCAAGTGGCCTTAAAACATGGAAGTCACAACGAGATGCACTTGTTCCTAGTAGCTTCTTGTTACTACTAGTAAGGCACTTGTTACTAGAAGCGATGCTAGTAGCTTCTTGTTCCTAGTTCTCGGATCACTCAAAATACCGATCAAAAGATCGTTTGGGTGTTGGTAGAAGGTGTGACGCAACGTTGCGATGGCTTTGGATTCTTTCACACAAGGCCTTGCTTTGTGCAACGTCGCTTTCGGATTGTTCAGTCGAGGTCGACCTTGTTGTGTCCGAGTCGTAAAGCAATGCCTTTCACAGTTCTCCACGCAAACGTCTTTCTCGGAAAGCGCTGTTTCGGGGAGCCTTTCAGCAAGCAGATCGTCAAGAGTTCGCATTTGAGAACGATCGCATTTGATCTCAACTCATTTGAGAAGTTTCTTCTCAGATCTCGTTCCCCGTGCCTCACGTGGAGATCGCTGGAAAGCCGAAGCCCCTCTTCACAAGTTCTCCAAGCCAAGGCAAGATGCAAAAGACCGGAGGGGAAAAAAGGAACGGAGAAATCGAGTCGGTGTCGGACATTCTCCGAACGGTGAAGGCCAAAGAGGCCCAACTCCTCCTGCTTCTTGTTTCGTGTTTCAAAGAGAAGGAAGAACTGGCCAAAACTTTCACCACAATTGTTCAAGAAAAGCGAAAACCATAAAAAAAATGCAAATAGAAAGAAAAAAAGGGGATTACGGACCTTCCTACGGTTACTACCCTTCGTTTCTTCTGAACTCCAAAGGCCGGGACCGAAGTGGAAGTGCCAAATCCAATCCGTAGCAGATTTCGCGGCATCGGAGGCTTCACCTGCGAGGTGCACTGAGCCGTCGTTCCAGATGTTTTAAGGGGGAGTAGACAGGAGGTAGATGAGGTAGGAAGAGATAGCTAAGCACTAACACGTAATTAGCTACTAGACCTACTAGCGGCTGAAGTAGCTACTAGGCTTGGACGCAAAAGAGCTCAGGCTTCTTCAAGGATGCTCCCCGCCTGAGGGCGGGGGAGGAAAACTTAACATTCTTGCTGATGTCATATTGTTGTCTTGCAAAAAGCACGTTTCAAACTATGCCAAGCCTCTGTGCATCCCTTTCGGCTTAGAATATCAACACGCCCCCGAAGGTTCAGCGCACATTTGCACAATTTGCCACACAAGTTGCCAAAGCGATCCAATTCAACCAAGGGTCCTGTGGTTGCACAGAATCTTCTTGTCCTTGGTTAAACAGCTTTGAGATCAGCTCCCTCATATCCTCCCACCGCGAAATGATCAGAACCGGCAGAACCTTCATGGACTGTAAGAGGTCACATCAAGGTCTATTCGAAGAAAGCTAGTAGCTTCTTGTTCCTAGTAGCGTCCTTGTTACTACTAGTAAGGCACTTGTTACTAGAAGCGATGCACTTGTTACTAATAGCTTCGTAGATTCAAAACGCTGAGGGTTTGACTGGGGCACTCGCAAACCCGGACCTCGAACATGTAGCGGCCTCGGAACAGGTGCAAGCACAGGAGCACAAGCAAAGGAACATCTCCAAAGCGGCGGTGAAAGAACAAGAAACTAGAAAACCAAAAGAAAAGTGATAGCGCATGACAGTTGCCATGACATGTGGGCCTTTGGCGTGGGCCAAACCTGCAGTCTAGCAGAGTCTAGCGACCCGAACAACAGGGCATAAAGGACTCATGCAAAGATCTTGCACAGCCTATGTTCAGTATGCATTATCATACATATCCAGCAAGAGATGCAAAAGGCGGCAATCTTGTCGGCTGGCCACCGAAATCTCCTGTCAGTTACCAGTGCACAGCTTAAGAAAAGAGGCATTCTGGCAACCAACCCGGAATGCAACAACACGGAAGCACCAAGTGCAATTCTCATGCCCCGATGACCTGATCTGGAAACTGAGAAAAATCACTCCTGAAGGGTGCAGAGCAAATGTCGGTTTCTTTGCAGTGCGCACAAGAAACTCGAGAAACCAATCTTTTCTGACGTTTCAAACATGTGTTTTCTTGTGTTTTCTTATGACTTGTTTAACTCGTGTGACCTAGGAGGACCGGTTGGGAGTTCTTCAGAATAGTCGCTCACCCCTGGCAGCTGGCGAGAGCTACATGACAAGAAAGAAGCGACTGAACCCAAAAAAGAAATATGAAGAAAACACATAGAATAAAAGGACAAAGTCCTATCAAGTACGATAAATAGGACAAAGACAAGTGTCCAAAATCTCCCCAGCCGCCTATCCTGACCTCCGGACCTTAAGCTGCGACCAAGGAGGCTACCACTTTTCACACCCACGTTGGCTCTTGCCCCCGCCAAGAGGTACTGGAGTCCGCCCTGGACTGTGACACAAGTCCACAAGGCATCGCAAGGCAATGTCTAATGCGCTACTAGGAACAAAGGGCATCGCTACTAGGAGCAAGGACGCTACTAGTAGCTCCTGGCCTTTCTACTAGTAGCAAGAAGCTACTAGGAGCAAGGGCATCACTATTAGTAACAAAAGGGCATTACTGCTAGTAGCATTCTCTCAATCGAACTCTCCAAATCCTCAAGTGCGTGGCTCCTGCGACCAGAAAAACATGAAACTGTTCTCGTTTGGCCTTTGCTGGCGGGGAGCAAGCGACAAACTCACTGAGACTGGACATCTCTGAGACGCACTGAGACCCTGCCGTCGTGCCCTGCCTCACTGAGTGACATCAAAAGATCTCCCGCCTCGATTGAGCCAACCCGGAGCGTTCTGCGAAAGCTACTACTCCACCCTTGCTACGTGCGTAGCTTCTTTCTTCCTTTGGACCTGTTCTTTCTGTTTCTTTCATCCTTGAAGCGTGTAGGACAGAAAAATCAGTCATAGGAGTTCTTGACGGAAGCTCAGCCCCGGGGAAGAAGAGCTTCCTTGAAGACTTTCAGCCTTTCTGGGGTCTAGTAGCGCTTGTGTCTGCATCTAGTAGAGCGTTGACACTAGTAGTTGCTGCTACTAGTTCACGGCCTACCCACCCCCAGTATACCAGTAGCTTCTTGATACTAGTAGTAAGGCACCTTACTGTTAGTAGCTTTTTGTTACTAGTAGTAATGCCTAGTAGCGATGCACTTGTTCCTAGTAGTCATGCCCTTGCTACTCTTGCTACTAGTAACGATGCACTTGATACTAGTAGTAATGCCAGGAGCTACTATCAGCGATGCACTTGTTACTAGTAGCTTCTTGTTACTACAAGAAAATTCATGTTTTCTGTTCAACGTGTTTTGTTCCGGTGTAGCCTGACTTTCTACTTAGTTACTTGTTTCTGGCGGGTAGTGATGTCGACTAAGAGCCGCAGCAAGTCTAGCTTGACAACGCATTGCCATGCATCTCTGATGTCTTCCTTTAGAAAAACATGGACGCGTTGGCGGGATCTTCTGTGTGGATAGGAAACCTGTCTGAGGGGGGGGGTCACTATCAGGGGCAATCAGCATGTTGACTTTTTGCACGAAGTCAAAAAGCAAGAATACAATCATTCGCAGCGTTGCAGAAGCCGTCATGGTTTGATCAAAACGTCAAGAAGAGCTTCTCTCCCCACTTAGCCGCCCACCATTGAAGGCATCATGTTCAAGGTGGTGTCAGGCACCAGGAATTTCGCAGGCTCAGAGATGCGTGGCCTTGAATCCGGTGGCCTCGGCAAATCCAAAAGGAACTCTTTTCGGCACCAAGGCACCTTTTTTCCGTTCTACTAGGAACAAGAGGACGCTACTAGGGGCTCCTGGCCATACTACTAGGAGCAAGGACGCTACTAGGGGCTCCTGGCATCGCTA